TAGAAATGTAAGATGTTGGGACTCCTGGCTGGCTCAGTTTGGTAGAACATGGGACTCTTGATCTCAGGGTTCTCAGTTGGAGCCCTACACTGGGCATAGAGCTTACTTTAAGAAAAATAATAATATGTACCCCTGGGGATAAAAATATATGTTTATAAAAAATAAAATAAAAAGCCCAATGACAATAAAGTCTTAAATGCAAAAAAAAAAAAAGAAAAATAATAATAATGTCTTGACCTTTTCTTGCTTCATTCTTACCTAGTTTCATTATAGAATCTATGTGTATTTGAACTGGCTGGGTTTTGATAATCTGTACTTTCTCAAAGTGGTGTTTTTTTTTTTTTAAGTATAAAAAGAATAACATATTGAGATTACTTCAGATTTGTGAAAAGTTATTAGCTTAGAGCAGGGGTTGCCAAGCTTTTCTGCAGAGGATCACATTTTCTGTAAAGGTCTTCATCACATAATCTTTGCTTTTTTTTTTTTTTTTTTTTTAAATGTTGATTTAAAAGCCCCAAAACTATTTGTAGTTTATGGGCCATGTAAAAACAGGTGGGCAGGATTTGGCCTATGGCCAGTAGTTTGCTGAACCCTTATTTAGACTCTAATCCTGGGAAGGAGTCTACATTGTTCTAAATTTTTTCTACTTCCATTTACTTCTTCTTTTTTTTTTTTTTTAAGATTTTTATTTATTTATTTGACAGAGACAGAGAGAGATCACAAGTAGGTGGAAAGGCAGGCAGAGAGAAAGGGGGAAGCAGGCTCCCTGCTGAGCAGAGAGCCCTATGCTCTGCTCTATCCCAGGACCCTGAGATCATGACTTGAGCGGAAGGCAGAGGCTTAACCCACTGAGCCACCCAGGTGCCCCGACTTCCATTTACTTCTTTTCTTTCTTTCTTTTTTTTTTTTTTCTATTTACTTCTTTTCTTATGGCTAACCAGAAGTTAGAACAAAATCTTTGTATGTCATTTTTGTTGTGCTTGCTTTCTGTTTTGTCACCACACCTGTCTGTTCTTTTCAAATTATACTGTGCCATTTAATACGTTGTTCTTAAACTTTTACCAAGTTGCACTGCCTTTTTATGTGGCTCAGTGATTGCACTTCTAAGGATGACTAGTTAGAATTCACTTTGGAAATACTGAATTTTTAACCTAAATCTGTTATTTTTAATCAGGGTATTCTACTTATTGCTCTTAGGTTTAGATTACTTTTTTTCAATAACTGAGTGTATGACTCAGAACTTCGCTGGAATTTTTTTAGAGTTTAGAAGGGAAAAGATAATGGGAATGTATTGTACTGGTCAATAGGGACTGTTTTCCCAGTTTCTCAGTTCCTTCATGGAAACATGTTATGAAATACACACAGAAAATACTAATTTCCACATTATATACTTTTGAAACACAACGTGGGAATTCATTGAGGTACATCTTGGAGGTATTATATGTGAATAGATGGTAAGTAATCCCTGAGCCACACCCTGGGTTCCAGAAAGTATGGTCTTTAATTTCATTGATGGGAGAAAATCTTAGATGTAAAAACTAAGAAACTAACAACTAAAGGTTAACTTAAGTTAGCATTGGTAAGTGAAGAATGTGAGGCAACAGCAATAGGTAAAGAAAATCTTTGGTCTATAGCCACACCTGGGTAATGAATGGATTGACTCTAAGACACTGTACTTTGCTCTCAATTCCTGCTCTTTCATCATACTTCAAAAACACTGGTTTTCTTTTCTTTTTTTTTTTTTTTTCAAGATTTTTATTTATTTGACAGAGATAGACAGCGAGAGAGGGAACACAAGCAGTGGGAGTGGGAGAGGGAGAAGCAGGCCTCCTGTGGAGCAGGGAGCCCAACGCGGGGCTTGATCCCAGGACTCTGGGATCATGACCTCAGCCAAAGGCAGATACCTAACAACTGACCTACCCAGGCACCCCTGGTTTTCAATTTATAATATACAGGAGTTCTTTCAAGTAGTTAAGGGAATAGGTTAAAATAATAAAATGCCAATCAAGAACCTAGATGTCCATCAACAGATGAATGGATGAAGAAGATGTGGTATATATATATACAATGGAATACTATCTTGCCATTTGCGACGATGTGGATGGAACTAGAGGGTATTATGCTAGGCAAAATAAGTCAGTCAGAGAAAGACAATTATCATATGATCTCCCTGATATGAGGAAGTTGAGAGGCAAAGCAGGGTTTCTTGGGGGTAGGGAAGGAAAAAATGAAACAAGATGGGATCGGGAGGGAGACAAACCATAAGAGACTCAATCTCACAAAACAAACTGAGGGTTGCTGGGGGGAGTGGGGTAGGGCAAGGGTGGTTGGGTTATGGATATTGGGGAAGGTATATGCTATGGTGAGTGCTGTGAAGTGTGTGAACCTGGCTATTAACAGACCTGTACCCCGGGCCTAATAATATATTATATGTTAATAAACAATTAAAAATGAAATCTTAAAAATAAAATAAAATGCCAATCAAATATTCAAATCTTTAGTAAAAAGCTTCTTTTTAGAAAATAAATAGATATCCTTCTTTTATAGACAGTTTGGAAAATTTAGTTTACTTTAAAAGGTAAGCATGAGATCATAGTCTAATATGGTAGTTTTTCACACTTTTAAAAATTAAAATTCTTGGGGCTCCAGGGTGGCTCAGTGGGTTGAAGCCTCTGCCTTCAGCTCAGGTCATGATCCCGGGGTCCTGGGATCGAGCCCCGCATCAGGCTCTCTGCTCTGCGGGGAGCCTGCCTCCTCCTCTCTCTCTCTCTGCCTGCCTCTCTGCCTACTTGTGATCTCTGTCTGTCAAATTAAAAAAAAAAAAAAAATTTTTTTTTAAATTAAAATTCTTAGAAAGCATTATGTTTAATATAGCATCTAGTACCCCAAAAATAAAAAGATAAGCAAGAGATAAGTTCTTTATTTCTTAAATTAACTATCTACCAAAAACTTTCCCTTTTAACATTTTGATGTATATACCACCAGTTCTTAAGTATATATACTGATGCATTTGTATAGATACATGTGTATATTTGGGATCATGCTACATATAAATCTTTGTGTTCTGTTGTAGAGATTTTTCAGATATTTTACCAAAACCATAATTTTTTATTTATTTTTAATTTTTTTAAAGATTTTTATTTATTTATTTGACACAGAGAGACACAGTGAGGGAGGGAACACGAGCAGGGAGAGTGGGAGAGGGAAAAGCAGGTTTCCCACTGAGCAGGGAGCCCAGTACGGGGCTCGATCCCAGGACCCTGGGACCGACCTGAGCCGAAGACAGATGCCTAATGACTGAGCCACACAGGCGCCCCCAAAAACGTGATTTTCAATGGCCATTCTTTTTTCTTAATGATAGAGTGGTCTATATGGTAATTCATGAACTAAGGCACTTTAATACTACAGCCCACATGTGGAACAAAAGGAAGTGTCCTTGGTTTACATGTTATATCCATTTTCAGCCCTGCCTCTTATTCCATGACTTCATATTACACCATCCCTTTTCCTTATTTTTTGAGTCCTATTTTGGCAGAAAGTACATGAAGTCTTCTAGGCATAAGTATTAATCAAACGTCGGAGGAAAATCAGATTTTCATTTTAAGATTCTATAATGTTACCCACTCCCTTTCCTTTTATTCAGTCTTAGAGTTGCACAGTCTCTTTAAGATATCCATCTCTTTCTCCCTTCTTGCTCCCCCTTTTATAGAGGCCTCATAGAATTTGCAGATAAAACAATCATGCCCTCTAGAGTTATCCTAGTATCTCTCTAGCTGTTAGATATTGTTCCCAGGATTTCAGAAATGGATAAGGGCATTAAAATCCTCAGTATCGACCTTTCTGTTATATATTCTTCTGACTGTAAGTAAAATAGATGCGTGACAACTATTTGTAAATTGATTTTTCTTGTCATTCTAAATCATCCTGAATAATAGAGTTGCTAGAGCTATCCCATTTTTGGAGTAATTATTTTCTTTCATAGAGCATTTGGGTCTTTTTGTTAATAATATGAGTACTTGCATCATTTTTTTTTTTTTTGCATAACACTTTCTTGTAAACCTTTTTTTAAATTGTTAGATATATACATTTATCTTATGTATCTTATATATCATTGTAGCCATTCTTGCGTGCATAATTCAGTGGCATTAAGTAAATTCACAATGTTGAACAACCAGTAGCTCTATTTCCAAAACCTTTCCATCATCCCAAACTGAAACCCTGTGTCCATTAAACAATAGTTCTCAAATCCCCTCTCTCCCAGTCCCAAGTAACCTCTATTCTACATTTTTGTCTCTATGATTTTACCTATTTGAGGTACCGCGCATAAGTGGAATTATAGATATTTGGCTTTTTTGTGTTTCTGGCATAATGTTTGGAATGTTCTTCCATGTTATAACACATATAGAATTTCATTCCTTTTTATGGCTGAATAATATTCCACTGTGTATATGTGTATATATATATATTATATATACATAATATATATACATTCTGCATTTTGGCTATTCTAAAAAATGGTGCAGTGAACATTTATATACAAGTATCTGACTTCCTGCTTTCAATTCTTTTGGTTATATATATGTAGGAACAGAATTGCTGGATCATATGGGAATTCTATATTTAACTTTTTGAGGAACTGCCAAACGGTTGTTTACAATGGCTGTATCATTTTACATTCCTACCAGTAATGTATAAAGTTTCCAGTCTCTCCACATCCTTGCTAACACTTGTCTTCCTTCTTTTTTAATTTTTAATAATAACCATCCTAATGGGTGTGAAATGGTAGCTCCTTGTGGTTTTGGTTTGCATTTCCCTAATGATGTGTTGAGCATCTTTTCATGTGTGTAATAGCCATTTGTGTACCTTCTTTGGAGGAATCTGTTCAGGTCCTTTACCCAGTTTTGAATTGGGTTGTCTTTTTGTTGTTGGTTTGCATATAACACCTTTTTAAAAGTAAAAGGTGCACCATAATAATCCCGACTGTGTTTCTCCCTTCTCAGGATTCCTACAGGAAACAAGTAGTAATTGATGGAGAAACCTGTCTCTTGGATATTCTCGACACAGCAGGTCAAGAGGAGTACAGTGCAATGAGGGACCAGTACATGAGGACTGGGGAGGGCTTTCTTTGTGTATTTGCCATAAATAATACTAAATCATTTGAAGATATTCACCATTATAGGTGGGTTTAAATTGAATATAATAAAATGACATTGAGGAGTAATTACATCTTTCACTTACTATGTCTTTGCTGACTACCATGCATAAATGATCTAATCTGAATTTTAAAATAATAATGAGGTAGGTAATATATCCCTGTTTTACAAATAAAGTTCTTGAGGATTAGAGCAGTTGAGCAATTTGTTCCGGGTAGCATAGATAGTGGTGCTAGAATTGAAATCGGGGCTTGTTTGACTTCAAAACCTGTGTTCTTAACCACTGTACACTAGGGTCACAATGCTTTAAGCTAGAGCCATCATAAAAATGAAAACCATTAACAAAAATATGAAAAGGTAATGGAGGTAGGTACCACTCAGATAGCCTTAAAAATAATCGGGTATAGTGTAGAATTTCTTGGAACTGGATGAACATTGGCTTTAGATAAGAAAAACAATCTCTGAAGTTGTGAAAAAGATTGAAATATTAGAACAGTTACAGTTTCTAAAGAATCAGGCAAATCTGAATAAAACTGACTATTTCAAAATCATTAATAGTATTAAATATAATTTATATTCTATGTCTTTGAGGGTTTACAGTTTAAAAAAAAGTACGTATTCAATATCCCATTCATTAGCTGTGTTCTATAACAGTGAATTAGCCTTGTTAAGAGGTGTAACATTCTAATACATTTCTTATAGCCCATTTTCTTTCTAGTCTAGTAATAGAGAAAAAGAAATTTGAGTGGGTGACGGTATTCTTGTAGAATAGTAAATCGGTGTCAGTATGTTAAGCTATGAAGTTTTCTTAGCTATTAAGTAGAGAAACTGGGAATTTGGACCAGTTCTGCCTCTATTGCCTACCTTTTATTCCATGCTGTATTTTTGAAATTCACCTAAAATTGTGAAATAATATAATTTTACCCCAAATTTAGAGTTTATGCACATCTTATTGAAAAAAATCAACATGTAGAAGGACTTTTAACAGAATAAACCTGTAATAATGTCAGCGTTACCCATGTAGAAATCAGAATCTTCCCACTTGGTGCTCTTTTTTTTTTTAAGAAACATATATGAAAATTATGTCAGTGTTGTAATCCATGTTTTTGTAAAAACATCTTTAATTCTATACATGTACATTTAATAACATAGTATATGTTTTTAAGATTACAATTTTAAAAATTAGGCACAGCATATTTTTATCCTAGAATTTTTTCAATATTTCCTGTTTTATCATTGTGACCTACCTGCATATGGACCTATTATATTGTAGTTTTACCATATTTTTTGGTATTTTATCTTTTAAGAGACATAATAGAAGGAGAAGCAAGGAAAATTTGGTGTGGTTAGAAACTAGGAATTACATTAAATGTCTTCTTTCAGCCATATTTTAGAAGACGGAATTATGGACAATTTTTGGAAGATATATTTTGTTACTAATATCTCTGCTATAACTTTTTCTTTCTCCCCAGAGAACAAATAAAAAGAGTTAAAGACTCTGAAGATGTACCTATGGTCCTAGTAGGAAATAAATGTGATTTGCCTTCTAGAACAGTAGACACAAAACAGGCTCAGGACTTAGCAAGAAGTTATGGAATTCCTTTTATTGAAACATCAGCAAAGACAAGACAGGTAAGTAGAATTTTAATAAATATGAATCTATTCCCTGTAAACTATATCGGATAATTTAATTATAATTTGCTGACATATATTCTGTTAACATCATTCTTAGGGTTGGAAGGCAAGAACATTTATAAATGTACATACCTGATTGTGTAACTGTTACATCATTTAATGTAACTTAATTTTTCTTTCCATAATGCTAATATAGAAAATAAGACAATGTTTATTTGGTAAATGTTCTCTTAAGGATATGAAAGAGCAGCATTTTTTAATCCAGTGTCCATGGTATTACTTTTGGCTTTGGTTTCTTTCCACATTGAATATTTCTCTTCAGCTCAGCACATCTTACATTAAGCATTCAAGAGATGTAGGATTTTTTTTTAACTGTTATATTTATAAGGTCAAAGAACAGGGGAACAAATACTGATTTCCTATTTTAGAAGTGTTTTGAAGAGTATTATGTCATGTGTTTCTAGATTAAGTTTTATTGTATTTGAAGAATTCTATTTTGGTAGAATTTAAAAAAATTTTTTATTAACCTATATTATTTGTTTCAGGGGTATAGGTCTGTGGTTCATCAGTCTTACACAATTCACAGCTCTCACCATAACACATATTCTCCCCAGTGTCTGTCACCTAGCCACCGCATCCCCCTACCCGCTTTTGGTAGAGTTTTTTTTAAAGAAAGATATATTTATTTTTGGAGAAAGTTTTCATTAAAGCAAAAGGATATTTAGAAAGCAAATAGGAATTCTAAGTTATTCATTTACTGTGTTCTGACAAAAATTAATGCCAGATTAACTCTGAATTTTGTTTAAAAAATTATCTTTATTTTTCAAAGCAACTTTTTTTTTCTAGGTAAAACAATTTCAGTTGACATTATTTAACCTATTTGTATGAAATGAGAGTTTAACATATAGAAAAAATTCTAGAGAGGAATACATAATCATATGATAGAATATAATTTTCATACACTAAGAAATTGATCAATTTATATTCCATACAAGATGAACATTTATTTTGGACTTTGCTAGTTACATGTACCTGTGAACCCAGAAAACCAATTTTGTGGAATTTAACTTCTGTAATGCTAGGAGGTAAGAAAATTGATGAACAACTCACTACATGTTTAAACTTATAAAAACAGGTATTCTGTAACTTTCACTGAATTTATAAAGGGGTAAAAATTTTAAAGTAAACCATCATTCAGCTAATGCATATGTCTGTTTCACTAGTGGAAGATTGTACGCACTGCTTCCTGATTGTACAAATTTGACACACACCGAGAAACAATGAATTCTATTTTAAGTCCTTTTGGAGGGATTAAAAGCTGAATTTCTGTAGTTTGATTATAGTACAAGTATCTCATTCTAAAACCTGATTTATAGGTTAAAGAAAGAAGTTGGTATACAGTACTTCACTTTACTTTAGAGGAATTAAGATTTCATTCAAATCCATTCCCAGGTCCAAGAGACTAGGGAAAGTTTGGGTTTTGTCTTCTTTTTGCTTGTCTTGTATAACCAGACTTCTTGATTTCCCTTATAGAAGAGATATTCAGAAAACATGATTACAATATTTATAACTCTAATATAAAATACAAGGAACATTATCGAAAACATTTGTCAACATACTGCCTACTACTAAATCATACCAGTAACATTTTATTAATTTGCATTATTTGTAACTTTTAAAAAAAACTTTGAAAAAAAAAGAAAAGAAAAGAAAACTGAGATTTTGCCTAATGTGGTAAAGGGTTGCAAATCGAACAGGCTTCTTATACTTAATATGCATATGAATGGACTAGGCTTCTTACTCAAATCCAAATTCTAGTCAGAGGGCTCAGGTTGGGACCTGATCCTGCATTTTTAACAGGCTCTCAGGTGATGCTGATTTTGATACATGGACCGTACTTGGGGTAGAAAGACAAAAGAAGACAGTAAAAAGGAGTTGTCTGTTATTCTGACAATGTTGCCCTCTATTTAAGAGCCTGAAATAGCTGTGTCTTCTTTCTTGTATAGTTACTATCTAAGAAGTACTAGTTTATTCAGTGTTTGACATTAATGCTTTAATATACCACAGCATTCATAATAATCAGAAGATTAACTGGATTCCTTTTAAAGTAGATTTTGTAGGTTTTATACAGTTTTGGGGGAGGGTAGGGAAAGTAAATGTAGTATGTATGATATGGAAGTGGATTAATTTAAAATTGCTTTGTAGACATTTATGTAAATCATCTAATTAAAATATAGAGTAATGTAAAGGAATACTTGTACTTTATTTCTTCTAATGCTCAGCTTTTCTTAAAACCTATTTTATTTACATCTTTATATAATTTATGTTGCTAAACTATAACTTAGATATTTTAGTTTCTGATCTTTGATTTCTCTTTATTTTATGGACTTGTTGATTTGCCTTTCAAAAGTTTATTCATCTTCTTCTGTTGAAATTAATTTGATATTTGCATGCTTTTGGAAGACTTTAAAGAGCTGTTCCAAGTAATTGTGGAGATTATAATAAATATAAATTTTCATAAATTTTACATTTCCAGTTTTTGTGAAAATTTGAAGCCCTATTTTCTGCAGAGTATTTTGTTACTTATCTATTATTTGTTTTTTGAGCAAAACTAAATATGCATACTCTTGTTGAATTTTATCAGCAGTTACTTGTTTCATACCCTAAGTTTTAGTCTTGAGCATGAACTTAAAACCGAAACACCAAAAAGAATTATTTATGTTAAGGTTGGTAGGAAAAAAACATTCATTTAGAAGGAACAGACAGTGGTTTATTTTTTTTAATTAAGATTTTATTTATTTGATAGCACACAAGTGGTGGGAGCAGAAGGCAGAGGGAGAGGGAGAAGCAGGCTTCCCGCTGAGCAGGGAACTGGATGTGGGTCTCAGTCCCATCATGACCTGAGCCTAAGGCAGATGCTTAACTGACTGAGCCCAAACTTTGGGGACCACAAGTGGTATCTGTTGGAGTTTTCTTTTTTTTCTTATAACCCTTTAAAAATGCAAAAATCAGTCTTAGTTTTTGGCCAGTACGAAAAAATAGGCTGTGGCTACATTTGGCCTGCAGGCTGTAGTGTGCTGATTCCTGATTCTCTGGGGAACTGTACTGTTGGATTAGATGCTAGAAGTTAGGTCAGACTTTTGACTTAAATTTTACAGGCTAAGAGTAGTAATTTAAAAATAAAAGTTACATATTCTATGAAAGGGAAATAGTAGCTTTACTCTAGTACTTTTTAAGATAGGTTTGCAGAATATATATTTTATGAAATTACTTTGTAATTTTAAAAAGCCCATTATATGGGCTAGAATATAGTAAATTACAGATTTTTTACAATATTTTAGTCCACATCTGAAAAGCCAGAGTAATTTTATTTTCTGCTAGTATGCTTTATGTGGCCCCTATGTTCCAAGTATATAAAGACCTTACCTACTTCACATTTATCTGGGTAGTTTAGTAATTGCCAGATTTTTCTGGCCTCATTGGGCAGTGCATGCAGTGTTGACAAAGACTATTGAAACCAAAACATTGACACCATGGTAATCAGCTATGTGTTTTCCAGTCTGCTAAAATCAGAATTGGGGAGGGTTCAGGAAAGTGAATGACAGAAGCAGAATTCTAAGCATATCTGCTACTCCTAATTCAGCTTTTTTATTTTCTGGAGGTCTCAGTTTGAGCATTATGTGAAAATTAGTTTTACAAATTTAAAAATGTTGAGTGATTAATTTCCTGGTTTTTGTTAATTTCTAGCTACTTAAAATTAGGTGTTAGAAGACCTCTATTACATTGTTTTGAAGCAAACCAAATAAAAAACCTCCTTATGTGCCATATTTCTATTGGTTAGTAGTTGAGTTTATGTACAGGAGATAAATATTTTGAACTTTAGCTTTTTTATGAGTTAAAAATAAAACAGTAACTGAGCACCTGCTGTGTGCGGCAAGCATGACCTCCCAAGTTAGCAGTAGTGCTGCAGTTCAGTGTACCTGACATGAGCTGTGGTTTGGCAAGGTTTCTTGAGAAATTCATCAATACAGAATTCTTTTAAAGAATGCATCTAGTATCTCCCATTCCTGTCTCCCAAGAAAAGGCTAGTAGTCTTGTATCTGCCTATATTGAAGTTTTGAAAGTGTTACTTCCTTGAAAGTGTTTTCAAGAATTTTTTTTGTAATAAGCTTCTCAGTAGGAACTCGTTCAGAGTAAAATTGTTTAGTGAAAGCATTATAGGCACCAGAACGTAGTATGGTGCTATTTCTTGACCATTTCTTTTCTGGTATGGAATGCCCTATTTCCTTAGTCTCATAAGTGTGTTTTCACATAATAGCTGAGCTGAAATTATTGTCAGATCTCTTGATTTATAAACAATTTACACATATGAACTTTTGTACACTTTTGTTCCTACATATTTTCAGTTCTGAAAATTTAGTAAGTGATGTTTGAAAATGAATATATGTGGCAATAAGCCATTTTCTCAAGAATAAATCATTGAGTGCCAGTTAAGAGCTCAGCAGCTGGCTAAGAGGGTATTGAAAATCTGTTTCAGCTATACCTTGTCTTCAAAAATTACCTACACATTTTAGAGTATGAAACCAGTGTTCTTTGGTAGTGCCAGTGGCTTAAGGTGCAAACAAGGATGAATAATGTTCTCTTGATGTCGTATGACTTTTAAAGCATATTATCAAGAAATGAGAAGTAGGGTGCCTGGGTGGCTCAGTGGGTTAAGCCGCTGCCTTCGGCTCAGGTCATGATCTCAGGGTCCTGGGATCGAGTCCTGCATCGGGCTCTCTGCTCAGCAGGGAGCCTGCTTCCTCCTCTCTCTCTCTCTCTACCTGCCTCTCCATCTACTTGTGATCTCTCTCTGTCAAATAAATAAATAAAATCTTTTTAAAAAAATGGTCTGCCCAAGTCCTTTGCACATTAAAAAAAAAAGAAAAGAGAAGTAATTTAAGTCTGAGAAAATATAGTAAATAACTGACTCTTTAAAATCTAATATAATTTCCTCTTAGTAAAAATAAGAAATGACCAGAGTCACTCTGGAAGAACTATTTCTCAGTGTTAATTATCTTAGCTACTCAGGTCCTAATGCTGAATTCTTGGTGGTGGGTAGTAATCGCTTCTTTTTAATTATTGGCCTCCAGTTCTCTCTCTGCATTGCTGGAAACAAAAATCATATATTCTGTACTGGTGATGGGGATGCACACAACACTTAAAAAGTAGACCCATTCAAACTGATTTTAGAAACAAATTACAATCAAAATTTGCTTCTCCTAAATTGGTGGAGGACCAAATCCCTGTCCTCTGCCCCTAGCATGTTTTACTACTTCTCTTACTGACCTTGTAACTTTTTAAAAAATAGGAATAAGAGTTTACATTCTTAAAAAATATGAGCTTTTATCTGGTTTGTTTTATGTGTGTGTGTGTGTGTGTGTGTATGTGTGTGTGTGTATACACACATATTAAGTGTGTGTATATATATATATTTTTTAATTTCTTGCATTGATTTTTTTAATTGAAAGAGAGTCATTTATGAAAATATCTTAATATCTTAAATGCCATCTCATACTTTACATCTTACATGTTTCACAGGAGTCATTTTTTTTTTAGATTTATTTATTTATTTATTTTACAGACAGAGATCACAAGTAGAGAGGCAGGCAGAGGGAGAGGAGGAAGCAGGCTCCCTGTTGAGCAGAGAGCCCGATGTGGGGCTCGATCCCAGGACCCTGGGATCATGACCTGAGCCAAAGGCAGCGGCTTAACCCACTGAGCCACCCAGGCGCCCCACATAGGAGTCATTTAATGCGTTAAATTATTTATCTTATATAATGAGAATTTCTAATATATAATTTTTTAAGGACTTAAAAATCCTTTCCTCTTGAGAATGATAAATACAAAATACTAAAAATTTGTATACAGGCACAAGTAAGTATCTAACTTGAAGTACCAATGTATTTAATAATTTCAGAAAATGGTTAGAAATCTTTATTTTGTAGTTGACTTAGCTAGCTGGCTAGCTAGTTGAGTAAATTGATTCCATTAAAAAAGAGATGTAGATTTTTTTGGGCTATTATGATTTTTTATTAGATAGCCAAATAAAAATATATCACTGGATGGTTATAAATAATTTGAGATGTACATTTTAACATGTAAACAACATACTTAAATGCCTATTAACTGAAACTTAATTTTATGAATTTTGAAGTTTTACTTCAAAGGTAAGCTACTGAACTCTACTGAAGCAGTACTTAGTATATTCTTGAGATTTATAAAAGTTAATATGCCCTAAAGAATTGATGTGCTTTTTTTTTCCCCCTTAACTATTATTAAACACAATGAATATGTGATGAACTTCGACATGCAAAAATTGAACCTTAACAATTGGTTTACTTCAGTTAATATTTAAATGGCCAATTCTCTGTGCCTGATTAAATTTAAAACTACAAATCATATTTTTTATATATTTTAGCTTTCCTACGTACTGGGCCCATTTTGTCACATTTGGTTCATAAAAGGACTGATGTTACCAATCCCAGAGAGTTAAAATATGCCAATTCCCATATTAAGTAATACGTTTTAAAAATTAAAAACAGATTAGGCTTAAAATTAAATGTATAATAAAATATACCAGCCTTTCTAAATACTTATATTTTCTTTTATAAGAATAAACATAATTATTAATTTTTGAAATTAATCAGTACATGTAGATTAATATTTGTGTGTATTTATCTTTAGATGTAAGTTTCAACTTTTGGTGGTATGTTTTCTTAGACAAACTAGGAGCACAGTTAACTGACTACTATGTCCCCTTTGGCTACTGCTTACTTTCTGGAATGGAAAAGACATTAAAAACTTCATGACCATATGGCCATATATGATTGTGTTTGTCGTCATAGCTTTCTTACTATGGCATTAAGCAAATGTCCCTTTTCTCCCTTTAGAGTATTTAAATTAGAATAGAAGGTATAAAGCCATTGTAATTGGATGCTGTTCTAAAAATTATTTTTAAGACTTCTTTCAAATAAGAAAACAAAATGCATTACTACTATTTTGTGTGTGTACTTGAAACAATTCATGGTGTTTTCATATTATGATAAATAGCCCTCATGTAGCATTTTTATTTAAATAATATAGCTGTCCACCCACAAAAATCCCTTCCAGTCTCAGTTCCACTTGTGGGCTCTAAAAATTGGCTGGACTGTGTTTTAATTGAATATAGAACTCAAGATTCCAGTCTCTTGACCCAACTTTATTTTGAGGTATTTTGTGTGTGTGTGTGTGTGTGTGTGTGTGTGTGTGTGTGTGTGTTTTAACTTTAAACATCCCTTTTGTACCATTTTTCTCCTCATTCCCCAGGTAGGGCAGGGTGGGAGAGGTAGGGCTGCTTATTTTTCCTAAATTAAATAATTTAAATCTAACTTCAGGTTAAGCTTTGATTAATTCCATGATTAACAAACTAAAATGTTTGTATTAATTGATCCACAGATGCTAATATATGTGCTTAGGTTTTTCATAATCTCCCCTAATTGCTAATTAAAATTTTTAAAAAATTCTAATTCCATTATAAGAAATGATTTTAAAGAACAAACCAGGATTCAAGCCCATATTTTAAAGCTTCATCCCCAGTTTTATTCAAACAATCTGATGTCTGTTTTAAAAAGAAATTCTCAAGTAAAGGTCACAATTTCAAACTTCTTACACAAGGTTGTCCCAATAAATTAACATTACCAATGAAACAGACTTTAAAGAAGTTGTGTTTTACAATGCAGAGAGTGGAGGATGCTTTTTATACATTGGTGAGAGAGATCCGACAATACAGATTGAAAAAAATCAACAAAGAAGAAAAGACTCCTGGCTGTGTGAAAATTAAAAAATGCATTGTAATGTAATCTGGTAAGTTCAGCATATTAATTTTGGCAGAAAGCAGATGTCTTTCCAAGGTAACAAAGTAGCAACCACTTTAGAACTTCCTAGGTGTGGGGTTCTGTATTAAAAGATAAGAAATTGGTAGTTTGTTTCTATGATTAGTTCATTTATTTTTAATCTAATGTGTATTAACTATAATTGATGCAGTTTTGATAGCTGTAGACTACATTTGTCATTGGGTGTAGAAAAAAAAGAAAGGAAACTGCGTAGAGTAGTAAGGTTGAATGGTCCAGAAGGTGGGGAAGGGCCCACTCTTAAAATGTATTCTTTCTTTTGGACATTCTGCAAGCAAATACTTGTTCTGCCTGTGTTCTCTAACTCAGTGGCATCAGTATCATTTTTTTACCCAAGAAACCTGGAAGTCTTGGGATGACTCTGATTTCCCTCTTGTGCACTCCCATTTGGAGGCAACCAAAAATTCCTTTGATGTTACATTTTGACTTTTATCACATTGTTAGTTCAGGTTCCTATCATTTCTTGCTGGGACTGTTATATCCTCTTATTTGGTTTACCTGTTGCTGCCTTTATTCACAGTGCAGCTGGAGAGATACAATTAAAAGAAATGTCATTCCCTTTTCTTGACGTCCAGTCACTAAATTTCTGTTACCTATGGAATAAAATCTCAAACTTCATAGTATGTTATATATGTCTTTTTTTTTAACATCTTCCTACCCTTCTAGCCTCTGGTCTTATCCCTAAAAAGTCCTTGAAGTTTTCTTTTGTTGGTGGGTTTGGGTTTTTTTTTTTTTTTTTTTTTTTTGGTTTGGTTTGGTTTGGTTTGGTTTGGTTCTTACATAAATAAACACCATGTTATTTCTTGCCTTCCCTTGAGTCTTGGCTGTTGCTCTTGGTTGGAATGCCAGTACCTTTATCCATAGTCTTAATAATTATTAACATTTTTTTCATGATTCTTTATTCTCCAAGAATCTTTCTTTATAGCCTTAGACTAGGCATAGTGCCCTTCCTGTGTATTCCCAATATACTGTTTTTAACTGTTATATGCTTGCCATGTTAAATTGAAATAATCTCTTTTATGTTTGATTCCTATACAGTAGAATCATAGCGAGAATCATTTATTTTCAATCTTTGCATGATGATGGCCTAACGTGCTACCTGGCACGTGGTAGCTGCCCATTTGAATTTATTGAGTGGCATTCTCAAGTTTCCTTTTTAAGATTTATTTATTTTAGAGAGTGTGCACGTGCACTTTGGTGGGAGAGAGAGACTTTATGCTGAGCATGGAAGCCTGACATGGGGCTCCATCTCATGACCCTGAGATCATGACCTGAGCCTCAAATCAAGAGTTGGACTCTTAACTGACTCTTTTTTTTTTTTTTTAAGATTTTATTTATTTTTTTGACACAGAGAGAGAGAGAACACACAAGTAGGCGGAGTGGCAGGCAGAGGGAGATAGAGAAGCAGCCTCTCTGCTAAGCGAGGAGCCCGATGCGGGACTTGATCCTAGGACTCTGGGATCATGACCTGAGCCGAAGGCAGCCATTTAACCGACTGAGCCATCCAGGTGTCCCTCTTAACTGACTCTTAACTCTTAACTGACTGAGCCACCCAGGTGCCCCAGTATTCCTTTCCCAACCAACTCATATTAAATTTGGTCTTGCTCAAAAAAGATTTCACTCAGTAGTTTTTATTATGTGGATTTAGGGTCTAAAGTAATCAGTGTACCTCCCAAAATCATAAAATGTACTGAATAATAGGTTCAGTCCCAAAAGACAGATGCTATACTAATCAGCTAACCTCAGAAGAATAAATAAAGCATGACTGGAATTAATTTTTATTGAGATTTATGAACTCTTAATATATTTTGAGTATCATTGTATAGAGCAATATCTTAATTTAGAAGTTCTGGTAAAATTTAATATTGCAATGCGGGGCACCTGGGTGGCTCAGTGGGTTAAAGCCTCTGCCTTCGGCTCAGGTCATGATCCCAGAGTCCTGGGATCGAGCCCCGCATCGGGCTCTCTGCTCAGCGGGGAGCCTGCTTCCCCCCTCTCTCTGTTTGCCTCTCTGCCTACTTGTGATCTCTCTCTGTCAAATAAATAAAATTAAAAAAAAAAATTAATATTGCAATGCAATTTGAAAAGTTAAACATTTTTTATAGTAGCCATGACCAGAATTAGGTGATGGATTTTTTTTTAGTTTTCTCCTCCTGTTTTCTTACTAGTAGGTGATTTTTAAAGTACAATATTTAGAATAAAGTAAGTTTTGCACTTTAACTTTTTTTAAAAACAAAGGTAGACGCACACAGTCTTCTAAGATTTCTTATTTGTGACTATGTAGTGCGAATGTCAAATAATTGGTGGGTATGATGAATTGAATCCTTGTTTCTTCTGGGCATGGATAGCATTTAAATTAAAAAGTGCACTTGGTAATACTTAAAATTTTAAATAAAAGTAGTTTTTCAAAAATTAGTTGCACAGTAATAAATATATACAAATTAGTTTTTCTTAGTTCTAAAATGGCTGGGTTTCAGCAAAATTACTGGGATAATGTTTTTGTTTTTCATGTGTATATGAAAATGACCATTTCCCATATGGAAAAAAGGAATTCAATGCCCTGTTTTTACTAATTATAACCTATCCCTAATCATTGAAATTGTTGTGTTTTTTTTTTTTAAGATTTTATTTATTTATTTGACAGAAATCACAAGTAGGCAGAGAGGCAGGCAGAGGGAGAGGGGGAAGCAGGCTCCCCACTGAGCAGAGAGTCCGATGCAGGGTTCGATCCCAGGACCCTAAGATCATGACCTGAACTGAAGGCAGAGGCTTAACCCACTGAGCCACCCAGGTGCCCCTGAAATTGTTTAATTTTAATAAGTTACATAAAAAAGATTTCAGCATTGAGAAAGAATGCAATATTAACCTAAAGTATTTGTCAAAATCTTAGTGAAAGAAGGTAATGTTAACAATTCTGTTTTCATTGTCTCCCTAAACACTTTTATCTTGTTTTCACCTTAGAATGTGTCTTCTCTATATCCGTATCATGGTTTTCATTTTATCTGCTTCACTGTTTTAGTATCATTGACATTTTTCTTTATTATAAAAACAGTTGAAGTGGAGTAGACTGCATAAGCTTGTGTGTGGGATCAAAGGAAATTTGTGAAGGGTGGGGGAGTTGGACTAGATCCTCTTTTAAGATTCCATTACCATTCTAAGGATTTTCGATTATAAATTAGTTGGGTTGCTGAGCTATAAAATAACTATTCTTTATTATATCAGTGGAAGTTTCTCCTTTTTATATATTAAAAGGGCTAGCATGAAGGTTTTTCTATATTAAGTCTTGATTGTATTGCTGATAAATTACATTTTATCACTTTTCCTCTCTCCTTCCGGTAAAGGAAAGGCAGGTGTGTGTCAGTAATGAATATCAGAAAGTGGAGATCAGTGAGTGCAGGTTGGGTGTTTTATTGGGGACTTTTTTCACTAGACTTCACACAAAAATTCTGGTTTTTATCCTAGAACTATTTATTTACTTATTAAAAGCTTTTTTATTTTTTTCAAGATCTATTTTGGTGGGGGGGCAGTGGGAGGGAGAGAGATCCTCAGGTAGACTCCCTGCTGAAAGGAGAGCTCAGTGTGGGACTCATTTCCGGGACCCCAAGAGATGATGGCCTGAGCTGAAATCAAGAGTTGGGTGCTTAAACGACTGAGCTATCCAGGCACCCCTTAGTGAGAGAGAGAGCACATGGGTGTGCAGGGGTGTGCTCGGGAAGGGCAGAGGGAGAGAATCTCAAGCATACTCTGCTCTCAGCACGGAGCTGGTAATGGGGCTTGATCTTGCGAGCAGAGATCGTGACCTGAGCCAGAATCAAGAATTGATTGCTTAACCGACTGAGCCACCCAGCACCCCTACAACTATTTATTTAAACCTAAGCAAGCATGTCATTCCTACTCGGTGTTTCTTTAGAAATATTGATAATGTTGTTCTGATTTTTAGATCTATTGTGAAAATTAGTTAAATGTAACTTGAATGAAAATGCCCTGAATTAATTTTATTATATTGAAATATTAATTGTAAATTATCTTAGTAGCACAGTAAAGGAGAAATCCTATATCATTGTTAAATTTTTAAATTATGTTTAACATAATATAACTTAATGAATATGAATATTTAACAGAAGTGGTTGAAATGAGAAAAAAACCAATTTCCATTGTTCTTAAAGTGGCTTAATCTAGACAACCGTATTTACTGGGTATTTGTTCTTAGGACTCCCTCTAGTGTCTCTGTTTAAAAGCATCATTAGGTTAACAGGCTTAAGAATAATTACTATTCTGTAGAACAGATTTTAAGATACATAGAGGATCATACTTTTTAAATTTTTTCTTGTTTTCTCCTGTTTTTTTTTTTTTTAATTTTGTTTTTATACTTAATCTGCTTTTTAATGGGGTCATGACAGGAATTGACTTTTATAATCTTGTATAATTTCAGCATTGCAGGGTTAAAATCTCCGGTTCTGTTACCACTTTCAGAGTGCCATTTTCCACCTGAAAATTATTAGGTCAAAAATTATTTTGACTTGAAATCACTTTCAGCCAGTACTTATTTATATACCTTGCTTTGATCATGAATAGATGTACCAAAATAACCAAATGGAAATTTCTTTGAAGAAATAGCATTTGGCTTTATATGGCAAACTCCTGGATACATACATAATATATTAAACAGAAACTAAAACAATAATAAGTAAAAGAGAATGTACTCCAAATTGGTGACTACACAATCATTTAAATGATTTAGCTCATTTCTCTACAAAATCAAGGTATTATATTTTTCAAACTATTGTGTCTTATCTTGGAGCCACTTGAAGTTTCAGTATGTTAAGTATATGAGTTGAAACTAATGCCTTAATATATATTATTTGAAAACTTAAAGGATATTTGAATACTGTTTACTTCCTGGGGATTATTTACATCTAAGTATTGAACCCAGAGCTCAAATATTGTTACTGAATATTTATGAAAGTAATATATACTTGCATGGCTTATATCTAATATCTAGAAACTCTGGGATAATTAAGTGTACATGTATATTTACACATAGAAAAACACACAAATGCATTTGGATTTTGGTGACCAAGGGTGCCAATGTGGACAGATGAGTAGTAAAGTAAGTTCTGGGAAAAAGTTATTTGTTCAGCTTATGTAAGATTGTGTACATTGATTGTCCTTGCCTTTTGTGAGAAATAGTGTTCCTATTTATGATACTGATGAAATAGTCAGGAAGAAGACCTTATAAGATTCCTAAAAGTCTGATACATATTCAGTTGCCTAAGGAGAAATGTAAAGTATCCTTATTCTTTATCAGTATTAGAGTTTCCGGTAGTCATAGTCCTTTCTGTTATCTGTATACCTCAACCCATCATATATGCCTACATTTTAATACTTGTTATGTGTTTCAGGGTGTTGATGATGCCTTCTATACATTAGTTCGAGAAATTCGAAAACATAAAGAAAAGATGAGCAAAGATGGTAAAAAGAAGAAAAAGAAGTCAAAGACAAAGTGTATAATTATGTAAATACAATTTGTACTTTTTTCTTAAGGCATACTTAAGTAAAAGTGGTAATTTTTGTACATTACACTAAATTATTAGCATTTGTTTTAGCATTACCTAATTTTCTGCTCCATCCAAACTGTTAGCTTTTATCTTGAATGCTTATTTTAAAATGACAGTGGAAACTCTTTTTTCCTCTAAGTGCCAGTATTCCCTGAGTTTTGGTTTTTGAACTAGCAATGCCTGTGAAAAAGAAACTGAATACCTGAGATTTCTGTCTTGGGGTTTTTGGTGCATGCAGTTGATTACTTCCTATTTTTCTTACCAATTGTGAACTTTGGTGTGAAACAAATTAATGAAGCTTTTGAATCATCCCTATTCTGTGTTTTATCTAGTCACATACATGGATTAATTACTAATTATAACTTCAGTTGAGATTTCATGATGGGTTTTACTGAAACATTGAGGGAACATGAATTTATGGACTTCTTATAGATTCATCTTACAGGTATAATGTCCTATAGTTTCAGTCACCCTTAATGAATGTAAAGTTACACTGTTCACAGAGGTTTTCTCCATCTTTTCACTGCTATTTGTCATAGTCACACTCCCAAAAATATTATATTTTTTCTATAAAAAGGGAAAAAATTGAAAAAAAATACAAGGCAATGGAAAATATTAAAAGGCATTTACTTTCCATATTAGATAAATTCCTCTAATACTCTGAATAGCTTTTCCTATTAAGGCAGACCCAGTATGTAATGAGGATTATAGCAACCATTTTGGGGCTATATTTACATGCTACTAAATTTTTGTATCAATTGAAAAAATTTTAACATGTATAAAAAATTCCCATAGGAATTAAATATAGTCTCCCTTGTCAGATTGCTCTTTCTTAGCATAACTTTAAATCTTTTCTTGATCTTCGGTCTTAGAAAATAGTTTTAATTCTGGTAGTGACATTAAAGATTATTTGGGCCAGTTAGCTTTGGTAGATGTTAAAGTGACCAAGGTTGCAAGGCCAGGCCTTGTGTGAACCTTTGAGCTTCATTAAGAGTTTCATGGTATGGACTGCATCCCTGTAGTCCCCAGTGTTGCTGTGCGTTGGGTAGTGAAAAGTGGGGGCGAGGAGAGTTTGGATAAGATGCATCCTCACTATGTGGTGGTCCTGCGGACATTATCAGGAACATCACTTTTGTTTTTTAAAAAAACAAAAAAAAAAAACAGAAAAAAACCACAATAGAATTTTTTTAAAAGCATTATTTCAAATAAGATTTTGGGGCAGGGGGTGGCAAGACTTTAATTTTTTTAAACAATGATGTGAAAAAGTTTCCAAATCTTTAGTATTGGTTAGTTCTCAAAACTGGCTAAAGTAATATTTCATACACACTTAACAAGTATGGTCCATATTTAAGAATAACTAATGCTTAAATAATAAATTAATAACAGTGATTCTTTCAGTGTGTTTAAAATGTATTTTTAAATATCTGAAGTGAGATGGTGTGTTGAGGTGAAAATATCACTGGACTAGGAGGAAGGTGACTTAGATTCTAGTTACATGTCTTTTACAACTTCAGTTTTGGGCAAATCACTTGCTATCCATTTCTTCATGTTAAAATAAGTCATCTCAAAGGCTATAGCTTAGCATTACAACTATGTGATTTACATTCAGTTTACATAAGGATATATCTATTTGTCAGTGTCAGCACAATCTGTAACTTTTTACCCGTGTTTTACCTGTGTTTCAGCGCCAGTCTTAGACAAAGTTGTGCAAGAGGTGAAGTTTATTTTTGAGTATCTGTTCTCCAGTAGCAGTGCTCCTCTCCCATATTAGTGTCATCTTGCCTGCCTACCCTCCTATATGCCCCGTGACTTGATGCTTTTTCTTTTAATACTTCTAATTCCCCTAACCTCAAGATTTATTGCTGCTTTAGATATCTCCACGAAGGCTTCCCATCAAGTCACATTAGTCAGGCTCAACATAATCTGACAGATACTGTAGTAGGGTTTGACCTAATAGCTAATTTTCAGGTGGTAGCTATAGCAATTTAATTTTGATCCTTTGAACATCATCTCTTTGCTACCTGGTCCACTAATGACTAAATAGGAAAAGTAGGAATTTTCATAACTGCTATGAAAAGACAGACCTTATCCAGTAGAATTTAATAAATTCATAAATACTGAAGGATTTCCTTAGATAATCTAAAACTAGGACTAGCCCTGGATACAGTGATACATTCCATTATTTTAGTAAGTAAAATCTTCTTACAATGAAAAATACTTTAAAACTTAATTCATAAAGCTTACTTTTTAGTGGAATTCATTTGTCCACCCAATATTTGAGTGCCTATTGGATGCCAGGTACTACACAAGGCACTGGGGATATTACGGTATTCCCAATGAGGGACATAATCCCTATCCTTAAGTAGTGCTGATATTTTAGAGAGCAGTCTGTAATAGCTTAGTGAGGCATTTGGCACATGACCCAGAGATAATATAATGCATATATTAGTTTTGCAAAGAAGTGATATGGTCTCTAAGGTTTCTTCCAGTTCTAAAATAATTGTTATGCTCTGATTCCAATAAAGCTGTTTAATCAAGCTACTTTATATAAATCACTTTACTTCATTATTTTAAAGGAGTAAACTTAACTATAATGTTTTTTATTTGGGATAATTATGTGATTTTCTTGGGACAGTTGCAGTACACATTAAATCGTATGTCAGATGATAACATTAAAATTCCCAAGTGTGTAATATTCTAGTTGGTCTCTTTGTATAATAATTAAAATAGACTTAAATATTGAATTCAAAAATAGTTTTATTTATCTGGGTATGAATAAACAGATGCCTGAACTAATTCACAGTAAAGGAAATTTCTGTGTAAAAATCAGTCCAATTTCTGAAATGCTATGCTAAACTACAGGTTTATGGAACATTATCTAGATAGGGTGTTAAGACTTTATATAGTACTTACTCTTGTTTCTACACAAGAGAAAGAAATGGCCATACTTCAGGAATTGCAGTGCATAACTGAGGGATTTTTAGGACTCTTCAATTTTTTGATGTAGCTGGGCAGCTTTTTTAGGCAGTGGTAATTATCCTTTATTATGTGAATTTTGAATGGTTTGACAAAAGGTTTGTTTTTGTAGAGATTTTAAAAGGGGAGCGATAATCCTAGAAAGAAATATTATGTAATTATTACGGCCTTAAAGATAAAAACCCTTGGAGTTGAAAAAATTGCTAAAATTACATAGTTTTAGACATTAACATGTTTGTGGAAGAATGTAGCAGAAGTATGTAGTATAATTTGAGTGAATATTCCCAATTAGGAATTCTAGGCTCTATTTTAACTGAGTCACACTGCATAGGAATTTAGAACCTAACTTATAGGCTATCAAAATCTTTGCCACCATTGCACAATTTTGTCCTAATATATATAGAAACTTCGTGAGGCATGTTCAGTTGCAGTTTGCACAAGTTCATCTCATTTGTGTTCAGTGACTTTTTTCTTCTAACCATATTTTTCCAAACAATACACATTGGTTTTTGGTAGGCAATAAAAACTGTCATTTCCATTGTTAAAAAGTAATTTGATAACTGTATTAATGGTTTTTAAAAAAAACCATCAGTTACTTTAAAACTGAATTTATATTTAATAACTTCTGTGTTAGTATTGGGTAGCATGAAATCTGCATTGAAAAATCGAACAGCATACAACTGGTAGCTGTAAATTCCTTCAGAAAATGAAAATTATTTCTTCCTAAAGATATATTTACATCAGTTCTTGAAGAATAGTCGTAACAAGATTAATAATTGTTTTAGTTTAATAGTTTTAAGTGCCTGTTTGGGATGATGATAGGCAATTTAGATGAATTTAGGAACAAAGTTCCTACTTGCAGAAATGTCCATTACAAAGGGTCCCCCTCCCCATAGTGCTAAATGGGTTATGTAATGTTTTATCCAAAAGTTTCCAATTCCACTGTCTTGTGTTTTCATGTTGAAAATACTTTTGCATTTTTCCTTTGAGTGCCAATTTCTTACTAGTACTATTTCTTAATGTAACATGTTTACCTGGAATGTATTTTAACTATTTTTGTATAGTGTAAACTGAAACATGCACATTTTGTACATTGTGCTTTTTTTTGTGGGACATATGCAGTGTGATCCAGTTGTTTTCCATCATTTGGTTGCGCTGACCTAGGAATGTTGGTCATATCAAACATTAAATTTAAAAATGACCACTCTTTTAATTAAAATTAACTTTTAAATGTTTATAGGAGTATGTGCTGTGAAGTGATCTGAAATTTGTAATATTTTTGTCATGAACTGTACTGCTCCTAATTATTGTAATGTAATAAAAATAGTTATGGTGACTATGATCGTGTGTACTTCTTGACAGAAATTTGAAACATTTGCCCCACAGTTGATATGGAATCATTTATAAGCCACACTATATTAGTGAATCTTTTGCAGCTTATGTGTTATATATATTCTTTATTATTTGTGAAAGGTGCTGTGAACATTATTTTATAGGTTTAAGTGTTTGCTTAAAACCATGTTAGATTTAGGTCCATTACTGTGTTAACTTATTTAGAAGTAGATGTAAAACAGATCTGCCTTTATGATGAAAGAACAGATTAACATTATTTATTACTTCTTATCAGTAAGGGTAATTGATACACAGGAGGCAATTTGTTTCAAGACTGAAAGGGAGCCAGCAGCAGAATCAGTAGCAGAAGTTGTTTTTTTTTTTTTAAGATTATTTATTTATTTATTTGAGAGCGAGAGATCACAAGTAGGCAGAGAGAGAGGGGAAAGCAGGCTCCTCGCTGAGCAGAGAGCCTGACACAGGGCTTGATCCCAGGACCCAGAGATCACGACTTGTGCCGAAGGCAGAGGCTTAACCCACTGACCCACCTAGGCGCCCCAATAACGGAAGTTATTAAATAGGTATGTATTTAATGCCAGTTACTGGCAGCCTACTTCAAGATCAGAAATAATCTTACTCCACACATACTATTTCTATACCTGCACTTAAATCAATACCATGTGCTATTTGTTTTGCAGTGAACCTTGAATGTGTGCTGTTAATGTACCAAATATGTTCAAAAATAAGGTGGTACTCCTTCAAAAGTTACAGGAAATTAATGGGCAAGAAATTATTTTGCTTAAATGCATTAAATGGCATTCTCTTGTCAGTAAAATGGAGAAAGGGGGCTAAGAGTAATAGGTAAAAAATTTAGTAAGTTGAAATTAAGTACATTCAAAATTGGGTACTCATTAATTTTTAATTGGTAGTTGGCTATATTGCTGATTTTGTATAAAAATTAACAAAGGGTTGCTGATAAAGCTCTGTGAACCAAAGTTGCTTATTTTAGTTCATTAAGGCAGCTCAGGTATTTTTTACATAATGTGTATATCTTGCCATTTTAAGTTGCAGTTACTGTTATATCTGGTGTACATAAAGAGCTGGCACTGAATTCCAGCCAAATTATAGTAATATAGATCAATTAGTTTTGTTGGTATCTGAATAATAGCGTTGTTTCATCGCTCTGTATTTCCTAAGGAAGTATAAGGCTTCTAGCTCTTTCATTACAAATTCACCCCGTCCAATAAGTTCTTTGATCTTCTCTGGGTCCTTCACATCTTTGTTTTTTAGGAAAACATTCTTCAGACGCCTTTTAAAATAGTCTGCTCCTTTTGGATAGTCTCGTCCAAGATACAGCAGCTTAAAAAAGAAAGGTTAATATATTTCTAAACGATCTGTATCTCAGTAACATATGTATAAAACTGGCAACATAATTACTTACATTTTTATAAAGATTCAGTACTTCTCCTCTTAAAGAATTGGCCATTTTCATTTATTATGGAAAGTAGCCACTTTTATACATAACGTACCTAAAGAAAAAGAAAAACCTTTGTAAATAACTGCACTGTAGCCCCCAAAAAGAATCAAAGATTTTACACATTGGGAAAAAATGGTAACTTTTTTTTCATTCAATAAATACTTATTGAGCACTTAGGTTCCAGGTACTGGGACATAGCTACGAAATGTCAGATAAAATACCTGCTCTCACAGAACTGACATCTCCTATGGGAGACATAATAAGCAAACAAGAGAATTATGAATTGTGTAAGTCCTATGAAGGAAAAGGGGTAATGAGAGAAAATGAATTGTCAAAGATAGTTATGGAGGTGTACCTTCTTATACAGAGTGGAGTGAATTAGATTTGAATCCCAGCTGCATAATGTTATACAGGTTACTTAACCTTTATGAGCTTCAGTTTCCTTACTGTTGAAAGGAAGACTGTCCATGTTGCTCTCAAGGCAAGACCAGACTCATTTGGAGGAAACTGTAAAGAGGCCTAGTCATATCTAGACGGGTGCTATCCTAAGAAAGGCTGAAGAGTAGAAGCTGAGTGTGGGAATCAAGTCAGTTCACAGCTAATGGTAGATGGGCAATAGGAGTGGTAAAGAGACCAGTGAACAACCCCTAAGCGAGTTCATGTGTGACAAGCAGGCAACATCCAGTAGAGTAAATTATGCTTTATGTGTAATTTGTTAGTGCTACTAGGGAAAGGTGGCTCCTTAAAGGCACCATGACAGTCTAAACATAGAAAATAATTCCCATGACTTGTTAGGTTGTGGGGATTAAATCATAAAATTCCTAATACCATAAGGATTTAGTTCATGATAGGCCCAGAGTAAATGTCTCTGTCTTGTATAACCTTCCTTAAAATTGTGTTATTCCTATTTTCCCAATGACCTAAGAAAACTTACACTTTGTCCTTTATTGACAATTATTTTTGAAATTGTTTTGAATTTATTGAAATGTTTTGAAATTATTTTGAAATAATTTCAGTCTTGCAGAAAAGTTCCAACATATTTCCTGAACAAGAATTTAAGGAATATACTTAAGAATTTGAGAATTGAGAGTAAGTTGCTAACGTGATAAACAATTAGTGTGCATACTTTGCAGTGCCATCCAACAGAAATATAATCCAAGACACCTATGTAATATTACATTTTCTAGTAGCCCATGTTAAAAAATAAAACAAAAAAATTTTAATATATTTTGTTCATATCCAAAATATTATTTCAATGTGTCATGTTAGCTACATTTCAAGTGCTTATAGGTATCAGTGGCTTAGGTGCCACCATACTGGGGAGCACAGCTTCAGAGTATAGTTTCTGTGAACAATGACATTTTCCTACAAAACAGTACAACCATCAGAATCAGGAAGCTAACACTACTACATTACTACATGAAATCCACAACCCCTTCATGTTTTGGCAATCATCCCAAAGATGCCCTTTATAGCAGAAAGTTCAGTCCAAGATGACACGTTGCATTTACTTTTCGTGTCTCTTTAGCCTTCAGTCTGAAACAATTCCTCGAGTTTCCTTGACTTTCATGAACTTCATACTTGTGAAGATCACAAGCCATTTATTTTGTAGAATTGCTGGAGACTACCACAGATGTTTAAAGTGCTCAGAAATAACAGAGTAGCCTGGGAAGGGAAGCAAGGGACTGGAGAACAGGAAGGGATCAAAAGGCAGGAGGAAATCCTTGGGGATAATGGAGATGTTTATTATTGTGATTGTGATGATAGTTTTATAACTGTAAACACATCTCAAATTTATGAGATCGATTTACACTTTAACCTACTGTATGTCAATGATACCTCAGTAAAACTTTTTAAAAACTGGTGTAACTGTGCTGGCAAAATGTTAAGAGGAGGGCTGGTAGACCGTGAGGTACACATGGAAATAGAGATCTAAACGACAAGGCTGCTAGTTAGTGGTCAGGGTAGGTGGTTCAACCAGCCACCAGTCAAGCTGCATAAAACCGGTATGCCTCTCGGGTGGGAACCCTGGTTGTAAACGCTTATTTTAAATTTTTTAAAAATATACTTGGAAGACTCCTGCTTCCAGAATGGCAGCTAAATGAAGTCCTTTTCATTTCTTGCTGAAGTTCATTAAGTCTGATTCTCTGGCTTCTCTTTCAAGGGGGGAAAAATCACATGTGAACAAATATTATTTCCATTTTATTCCTACCTAATTCCCCACTTTACTAGTAGTTTTAAAGCTAATTCACATAGCAAACATACAATGTAGCAGCACAATTCTTTCTTTTTTGAGCTTTCTCGCAATTTTCTGTTTTTCTCCAAATTGCTTTTTCTGCTTTTGTCTGGATTGCTTCTGAGCTTTCTCCCCAAATCTTTTTTTTTTCCATTTTTACAAGTGGAACAGTTAAAAAAAAAAAAAAAAAAAAAGCTTTTTAGAAGATTTGTATACATGGTTGCAACTTAATAGACTCTGAGTTTCAGTTAGGATGATCAGAGTGTACCCTTTGTTGGGGAACATCTGAAGTCAGTCATTCCTCCTGGGCTGATCAGACTCACCAGAGAAGAAACTTCCAGTCAGCTGAGAATTTGCCTATTCAGTCTTAAGAAATGGAAGAAAAATGGGGGCCTTACATTCAGCATTACGTACACCAAATTTAATTTCTGTTTTCAGTATGGTTCTCATGTACTTAGTATACCTGAGGACACCCCAGTGCAGAGAATAGTATTATTTGGTCAGAAATATATCTCCATGCTTCTCTGGAGTGAGAGGTACAGTTCCTCTGGAGGTGTTTTTCAAATAGCTTTTACTTAATCTCTTTGATTTACTTCATTCTTCATTTCCAATTCCATTGGCCCTGTTCCAGTGCCTTTTGAGAATTATGTAGTATAAATTGGGCTTCTGGTGTGTTGAGTCACACTCATTCATCTGGTCTGCAGCTTCCAAAATTTTACTGTTGTCATTTCTCTTCTCACATTTTAAAATTTATTTTTATATCCCTTCACTGACGATCAGTGGAGTTTTGAAAGGGAATGAAATTAGTAGGGTACATTTATTTTCTATTAATCTAATTTCCATTTTTAAAACTTTGTTGTTCTTGTTTGCTGAGAGCCAGTTTCCAGCATGGTTTAATCTTATTGAAGAATGGCTCTTAAGAATCACATGCTTTAAAAACGATTCTAAATCTATGCAGACATACTTTCAAATTGCAAATTATAGCCTGTTTAATCTTATGGCAAAGAACACAGCTTTAACTCAAAATTTATAATATGTAAAAGCTTAAATTGTCCTTTTAAGCTATTGCTTGTTTTTACAAACCATACATAATAAAGGATTTGCCCAGCAAAAAATGTAGCTGGTTTGACTAGGGTAAAATTGTCCTGATCTTTGATATGTTAATGTATAGAAATTAAGGCAGTTTATTTTATGTTGACCTTCAGGCATTTAAGTTGTTTTTTTTTTTTTTTAAGACTTTATTTATTTATTTGACAGAGAGATAGAGAGAGGGAACACAAGCAGAGGGAGTGGGAGAGGGAGAAGCAGGCTTCCCACCGAACAGGGAGCCCAATGCAGGGCTCCATCCCAGGACCCTGGGATCATGACCTGAGCAGAAGGTAGATGCTTAACGACTGTCCACCTGGACGCCCCCCATGCATTTAAGTTTATTAGCCCTTGGGAGAAAAAGGTCTCCTTGGACTCACCTGGTGAAGTTAAAAGTGCAGCAGGGAGGGCTGCCTGGGTGGCTCAGTGGGTTAAGCCTCTGCCTTTGGCTCAGGTCATGATCTTAGGGTCCTGGGACAGAGCCTCACATCGGGCTCTCTGCTCAGCGGGAAGCCTGCTCCCCCTGCCTCTTTGCCTACTTGTGATCTCTGTCAAATAAATAAAATCTTAAAAAAAAAAAAAAAAAAGTGTAGCAGGGATCTGGGGCTTCTCCTTAATCCTACATGAAGTCATGGAGGTTACTGCTCTTTGTACAGAGCCAAGCTATTAGGGACTGAGAGGAGCCCTCTATCATTCTGAAAATGTGTGTGGTGGGCAAGGGGAAGGAGGTAAAATCCCCACTGACAGCTTTTTTTCCAAAGACTATGGGCTGAGGAGTTTAGACTTAACCAACTCCAGTCCTGGGTTAACTAAGAATTGTCATTTTACTGGTGACCAAAGCTGCTGTTACTCAAGTCTTCCTCATGAAGTTCAGATGGCAATAAAAGCTGAAGGAAAATGGGCAAAGAAAGGCAGTGTAATGTTACTGTTTATTGGTTTCTGGTAGATTTTGACTTCAAACAGCTGATACACGTTTCCCCAAACCAGTTAAACCTAAAAAGCTTCACATACAAAACTCTTAACACCAGCTCCAAAGGATATGTCATCAGAGAGGTAGGTGGCAAAAGACTTTTGCCCCCTGACTGGCATTTGGCTTGATGGAGGCATACCTAGGAGCCAGATTATAGAAGGGAGTTGAAAGGCGCTGGCTATGTCTATGTTCAGAATGCTTGGATACTATGCCCGTCGGAAGGCAAAGAGAGAACAGGAAATCACCCTTACACCTAGGCAGCTTGCAAGAGAAGTACTAGAGGAGAGCCAAACTCACTGTGTATTTTTACAGCATAGTCTAGTGTGTTCTCACACATCCCTAGCACTTCTTCTTCCTAAGAGGGAGGTGTCATAGAGTGAGAACTTCAGCAAGTCTTCTCCCCTAGAGGCCTACCGTTTTAAGGTAATTTGGGATTCCCATTAACACCACTGTATGCCCATCAATCCTAACTGAGCTGACTGAGGTTTTACACCATAAACATTATTAGTGTGAAACACTAAATCAAAAAACTTCCATACCAGATGGGTTCAGAACTCTGTATGAAGTCGACATTAAGATTTTTTTTTTTCTTGCTACCCAGGATTTGGGGATGGAATGTAATAACTGACAATCTGGATTTCTATCACAAGACTAGCTCCGTAATCCTTACTCACTACTATTTAATACATTTAGTCAGTCCAGCTGGGAGAGAGCCTTATAAAATTAGAATTCAGAGATAAGAAATGGTGCCAATGATTTTAAAGTATTCGATGTTTTGTCAAGCTAAAACAGGAACATTAAATCACAGAATTGGGAATGTGGAAGGAGCTTAATTTCTTCTAGTTTTTCTGCTGGTCTAAATTGCCAGCGTTTCTTCACGTGGGGAGGAGACAAATTCTGAAGGTTGCGCTACCCAGCTGGCACAATTAGCCTGTGACCTTGGTCTTAATGAGTCTTACTGGGCCCCAGCGACCTTCAGCTGCAGGAAATCCTTTATCCAGGAATCGTTTCAAGTAATTTCCAAGTCCATGTTTAGAGCGGCTCTTAGGAAAAACGGCACACACATAACTTGCACAGAAAGTAAACCGAACCACGTGCAGAGAGAAGAATCCAGAGGTCATTAATTTCAAAATAACCTCTTGGAAACACCGCTTTCTCTAAATTGCCCATTAAGCCCCGTCCCCAAGCGGGCCTATGCTGTGGTGGCCCAGGCAGCCCACCCTGGTGTCAGTCACGTTACCCAATCCCGTAACCGGCGTCTCCCTTCCCTCTGGACACCCCTCACACAAAGATTCGCCCCAACACGCTCCTAGGGAGGAAGACAGACTGTCAACGTCAGAAGACGTTCCGAAACCCTACGCCACACCCGGTGGTCCCTGCCCAAACCGTACTTCATCACCTCCAGACCCCCGGATCTGGAAGACAGAATAAAACGTCCCAGCGGCTGCACTCACGCACTTTTCGGCATTCCACAGCCGTAAACCGCTCGGACCGCTTCGACTCCGGGGTCTGTCAACAGCGACGCGGGGCGGGTGTTGGTGCTAGGCAGCCAGTCAGAGGAGGGGGCGGGGCGCCTCACGGAAGAACCCCAGCGCGACTGCGCGGACCCGAATGCGAGGATGTGCGCTCCTACGTTAGGCGCAAGTGGGCGGGGCTTGTCGTCCCGACAACCCGGGAGCGTTCGTCCACACACTCTGATCTCGGATTTGGTGGACCACAGCAGCACTGAGGCTGTGCTGGCTGCAGAATGGTGAGCAGGGCAAGTGGGGGCCCCAGGTGAAGGAGCCAGCAGCGTTTCACTCGTGTAAAAATGATGTGTAGGAGCCTGACATATTTTAGAGGGGAGCGGGTGGGTTTAAGAAAGAACCCTTACCGCTGTGGGAAATCGGCCTTCTGATCCGTGGCCTTGCGGTCGGGGATCTCAGGGACAGAAGGGAGTCACAAACCGCTTTCTGCAAACGGGGGATGGCCAGTGCGGTCAAATGGTGTCCTAATCGCGCACAGTTGATAGGTTTAAGAATTGGCCTCAACCTGGTAATTTCCAAGAACGATAGACCTTTCCATTAAATGGCTTTTTTCATTGGCAGCTTGGCGAAAATGTGTTTTTGTGCCTCCTCGGTAGTTAATTAAAAGCTGTTGTAATTTATTCTGCTTTGAAAAGTAATTTTATTTGGTCTTTTGTGGAAATATGAATTGTTTTGTGAGTCAAATTACTCAGCTTGCCTCGAATTTTTTAAATATAATAAAGCTGCTTGTTTTGTTTTAATGCACTCTTCAGCCCTTTTGTCTTTTTCTGGAACACAGACCAACCTGCTCCATGAGATGATCTCATTTCCCATTTTCTTTTCTTTTTTTTTAAAGATTTTATTTATTTGACAGACAGAGATCACAAGTAGGAGAGAGGCAGGCAGAGAGAGAGAGGGAGAAGTAGGCTCCTTGCTGAGCAGAGAGCCCAATGCCGGGCTTGATTCCAGGACCCTGGAATCATGACCTGAGCTGAAGGCAGAGGCTTAACCCATGAGCCACCCAGGCACCCCTCTGTTCCCATTTTCTTAAATGTGACTTCCCTCTTTTGTGATTAAAACCAAAGGAAGTAGAAAATGTATTTAATTATTTAATTCATTAAGGGGAAATACAGAGTGCATTCTTTGTGTCTGACACTAGGCTAGAAGTCGAGGATCTAAGTGATTATTACAGCCGCTCCCTGCTATGGGAGACAGGCTAAACTAATACAAATACAGATTTTTAACTGTAACAGTTGAAATGTCTACACTGGAGTAAGATTAAGTTGGAAATGATAAAATTGGGGTGGGAAAGGGCACAGAAAGGGAAGAGCAATGCTTTTCAAACTGTATTTTAAAGTATGACTATGAGTTTACCAGAATTGATGGAGAATGTTCATGTCAGGAAGAATAGGAAGTAAATGGACTTTAAGCCTAAAAACTGCTGATAAATTAAGGGAACAATAAGCCTCTATCTTCCACGAACATAAATTTCATGCTTCTAGCAATGTTTATCAAAATGTCCCTGAACATTTGCTTCTACTACATCTGGAATGCTTGTTAGGTTGCAAATTCTAGGAACAGACTGGACACCAAGCAAACCTACGGTATTAGTTTCCTAGGGCTGCCAAGTAACAAAGTAAACTAAGTGGCTTAAACGGTAGAAACTTACTGTTCCGCCATTCTAGTGGCTGATAAATGGAAGATCAAGAAGGTGTTTCCAGGGCTCTGCTCCCTCTGCAGGTGCTAGGGAGGGCTCTGTTCAGACCTCTTTCCTAGCTTCTGGTAGTTCCTTGGCTTGTGGCAACATTCCCTCCTTCTTTATGTGGTGGTCTTTCTGTGTGCATGTCTGTGTCCAAATTTCTCCTTTTTATAAGGACACCAGTTGTATTGGAGTAGAGGTCATTCTATTCCATTATTATCTCATCTGAATTTAAGTAATTACATCAGTAACAACTCTAGTTTTAAATAAGGTAAAATTTGGAGGTACTAGGGGATGGGACGGGGATACAGTTCAGTGCTTAATATCTACTGAATTGTGGTGGAGGGGGGAAGTGCCACAGGAATATGCATTTTTTTAACAAGCCCTCTGAACTTTGAGAACTACAGTTGACTCTTGAATAATACTGGTCCACTTTGAACTGTAGGAATCCACTTATAGGCAGGTTTTTTGGGTAAATACAGTACAGTACTGTTAATGTATTCTTTTTTTTTTTTTTTAATTTTTTTTTATTTGACAAACAGAGATCACAAGCAGGCAGAGAGGCAGGCAGAGAGAGAGAAGGAAGCAGGCTCCCCGCTGAGCAGAGAGCCCGATGCGGGGCTCGATCCCAGGACCCTGGGATCATGACCTGAGCTGAAGGCAGAGGCTTTAACCCACTGAGTCACCCAGGCGCCCCTGTTAATGTATTCTTTTTCTTATTTTTCTTAGTATTTCTTTTCTCAAGCTTATTTTATTTCAAGAATACATTATATAATACATATACAAAAATGTGCATTAACTGTTATGTTATCAGTAAATCTTCTAGTCAATAATAGGCTATTAATAGGTAAGCTTTCAGGGGGAGTCAAAAGTTATATGTGGATTTTTGCCTGCATGGGAGTCAGGAATCCCCCCCCAACCCCCACATCGTACAAGGGTCAACTGTACTGTACTACATGATGCTCTTTTTATGTTTTGCAGGAGGGGTTAGGATAAATACTAATCCCAAACCTATTTCACATAAGAAGCACTAGTGAGATAATAATTTGCCTATCTTAAAATACGACTACATGAGAACAGGAACAATACTGTTTACATATTCTGTTTTATAGTACTTTTTTCAAGATGGGAGTGTATTAACTATTAATTGATAGTAAATATGATAATAAAAATAGAACCCTGTAGATTCTATTCTAAATTCTATTCTATTCTAAATAGAACTGTAAAAATTATATGAGAGCGAAGTCTCTACTATTCCTCTTTATATCATTTCCATTGTCCCAGAGCATCCTGTGTGCAAATCGTTAATAAATATTTGCTGAATGAATTAATGAAATATATGTACTTTCAAGAAGATAAAATCTGCTTCATGTCATTTTCAACATTTATATTTAATACAGTTATAATCTTTTAGTTTGAACCAGTAATTTTTCCTGGGAAAGTCTTCAGAGGTGGAATGTGTATAATCTTACAGTCACATGATCTCCTACAGATTCCTTATCAGATATCTAATGGACACATGAGCCTAATCAAGAAATTACAAGTAGTGTTCACTGAAAAACACATGTAATGATAAAGCTAATGGTAAATACTTATTGCAATATTGTGCTTTCCAAATTAATTTCCAAAGAATAGATCTGCTTTAAGATTCATTGCTGAACAGAATCTTTTTATCATAGCTTTGCCTGCTTTAAATTAACTGATTCTTTTTTCTATAAAATCAGTAGTCTAATTTTACAGAAAGATTATTTATTTATGAGCTCATTTCCACACTTTCAAACTTGACATCGTTGCCTGTATTCAGTCAATCACTTACTGTTCCTTGGAACCCTTTAGACCAGTATCTCCCTGACTGCTGCTCTGCGTAGTGGTAGGTCATTTCCTTACACATGGATCACTGAGTGACTGTCATAAGAAAGAGTGTAGGATTTAAAAAATGTATAATTTTAAAAAGATGCTTCAGTGGGTGAACTATTTTTTTTTCCCCTAGACCTGCTTGTAGTTTTGTCTAAATTCTTTTTTAAAAGACTTTATTTTGAGATCATTTTAGATTTACATGAAAGTTGCAAAGATGATGCAGAGAGTTTCCTATGGTTTTTACCCAGATACTCTTAATTTTCACATTTTATATAATATTGGTGCTTTTGTTAAAAATATCTGAGTTTTTAAAATTTATCAATCCTCTTGTTTTTCCAACTTTCAGGGTCCCAAAGCAAAAAAGGTAGGTAGAAATTATTTTCTCAAAATAGATAGTTTTATAAGCACTGACATTGTATGAATAGAACTTTTAAATATTTTTCTAGTTAGTTTTATTATAGGTTATAATAGGATTTACTAAGCTTACTTTTTAGATATTAATGCTATTTAAATCATGGGTAATCCTTTACAATACAGGACATACTTCAAATTTGACATAAAAAGATACTTCTGGTTTCACAGTCTTTAATTTTTACTTGTACCTGTACCTTGTACCTTAATTTTTACTTGTACCTTCAAGGTTTTTTATTAGTTGTTCTCTAGAAAACGTTAGATTAGGAACCCCTTTTCTTTATTCTAGACAAACACAAAAATTTAATTACAAAACCTTAAGAGTGGACCCTAAGGTAACACGTCTTTAAATGGATTGCGTCATAATGCATACTTGATTTTCTTTTATACTTTGTAGAAATTTGAATTGAATAAAGGACGTCTAGAATGCCTTCTTCTCTTTTTCGCTTAGTAGATTTATACCTTAAAGCAGAGATTATAATCTCTTGACTGGCAAGCCAGGTTTAGTCCCTAACAATATTTTGTTTGACCTGAAAAGGTTTTTCATTAGTTGCCAAATTATTTTCATACAAAAATGTGATTCCCATCTATTCTTAAAAAATGGGAAACCTATGAAAACATTGGGCCCATAGTCCTGTAAGGCATCAGTTGGCTAGACTGAGTAGCAGCCCCTCCCTTTAGAAATGCATAAACTTTTTTCAAGTTTGCCATGGTCTTGACTATGACCAGACTCCCTACTTTATTTACCTTCCTGATCCCAATAGGGATTTGGGTTTGGAATGCTGGATTTAAGGCATATTTCATAAGGTCACTTCTCTGTGAAATTTTCTACTATTCTTTCTTCCATAATAAGTTATGCTGTGTTCTCATAGCAGCATTCATTTGTTCATACCTCAGTTATAACCCTTATATCATTTTAGTGTAATGATTTATAATTGTGAGCTGTCTGAGGTCAGGAACATGTCACATTAATTTTTATGTTCATAGCATTTAGCGCAGTGCCTGGCACATAGTAGAAATTCAATCATTTATTTGTCTAATGAATATGTGAAACCCATTTACCCTGCCAACATTTAAAAACAT